TCTCCCTCCCTCCCCTCTCTCTGTCTCTCCTTTCTCTCTCTCTTTCACTCTCTCCCTCCCCCCCTCTCTCGCTCCCACTCCCCTCTCACTCCCCTCTCCCTCCCCCCCCCCCCCCCTCTCTGTCTTTCTCTCTCTCCCCCCTCACTATGTCTTTCTCTTCTCTCCCCCCTCTCCCTTTCTCTCTCTCCCCCTTCTCCCCTCTTTCTCTCTCTCTCTCTCTCTCTCTCTCTCCTTCTCCCTCTCCCCCCTCTATCTCCTCTCCGCTCTCTCTCCCCCTCCTTCTCTCTCCTTCTCTCTCTCCCCCCCCTCCTCTTCTCTCTCTCTCCTTCTCTCTACCCCCTCTCTCTCCTCTCTCCCCCCTCTCTCTCTCCTCTCTACCCCCCCCTCTCTCTCTCTCCTCTCTACCCCCTCTCTCCTCCCCCTCTCTCTCCTCTCCCCCCCTCTTTCTCTCTCCTCTCCCCTCTCTCTCTGCTCTCCCCCCTCTCTCTCTCCCCTCTCCCTCCCTCCCTCTCCCCATCCTCTCTCTCTGCTTCTCTCTCTCCTCTCCCCCTCTCCTCTCTCTCCCCCTCTCCTCTCTCTCCCCCTCTCCTCTCTCTCCTCCATCCCTCTCCTCTCTCTCCCTCAGGGGACTCGGGCCATCAAACTACCTATACATGAAATCTCACGTTTGCCAGGATGTACCCCCTTTGAAAAACCTATTTTTTTAATCCAACAGATGTTCTCTGGACTAAACATTTGCACCTATAAAATCCATCGTATGTCTGTCGCATCATCAGGTGGGTTCCATAAAAGATTTCCTGCATCCTGAAGGCAGCGAGGATGAAGCCACGGCGTGTCTCCTGGTGTTACATGAGGTTTCCTTCCTGATAGAAAGATGAAATGCTTCCTACTGAGAGGATGAGAATCCACATGTGAAGGGTTGAAGTTTCCAGGAGGATCAGTTGAAGTCTAGAACCAACATTCATGCAGCTGACAGTAGGTGGGCTGGGCTAAACAGCTGCATGAGACCCTGCAAACCTGAGAATTAGAGTCCTTTCCACTTCAAGGACAATAAATGATGTTTTTGCCGGGATAGATCAGCTGACACACGCGTGGAACTGGACCTCGTGGACTCTCCGTCTCACCAATTAAACTCCAATGGACGATTCTCTATGAACTGATCACATTCCAATCACTGAACACCCACAAACTATGGATGTTATTTTAAAATAAGGGACTCAGAAAATCAAAATGTGCAGAGATTTCTGGTTTATTTTACAGGATTGGAAGAACGGATACAAATATCACAGAATATAAGTGGATATAACACCCCATTCCGGGACTGCAAAATCACACACATACATATACACACACACACATATATACATACATACATACAGACACACAAACATACATACATATATACATACATACAGACACACACATACATATATACATACAGACACACAAACATATATACATATATACAGTTGTGTTCAAAATAATAGCACTGTGTTGAAAAAAGTGAATAAAGCAGAAAATCCTTCTAATAGCTTTTATTTCCATCCACACAAATGCATTGGGAACACTACACATTCTATTCCAAATCAAAACATGAAGAAAAATAGATCACATTTGTGTTGTTCCTCTAAAAAAAAATGAAGAAAAGTGAATATTAGACTGTTCAAAAAATAGCAGTGTTTGTATTCTTCTTTACAAACTCAAACATTCACTATATAAACTGAAAAATGTTTGAAGATTTTGCTTTCCTTTGAATCACTTAATTAATATTTGGTTGTATAAGCACTGTTTCTGAGAACTGCTGTACATCTGTGTTGCATGGAGTCAACCAACTTCTGACACCTGTGAACAGGTATTCCAGCCCAGGATGGTTGGACTACATTCCACAGTTCTTTATTTCTTGGTTTTGCCTCAGAAACTGCATTTTTGATGTCACCCCACAAGTTTTCTATTAGATTAAGATCTGTTGATCTGGAACCAAGATGTTGCACATTTACTGGTGTGTTTGGGGTCGTTGTCTTGTTGGAACACCCATTTCAAGGGCATTTCCTCTTCAGTATAAGGCAGCATGACCTCTTCAAGTATTCTGATGTATTCAAACTGATCCATGATCCCTGGTATGTGATAAATAGGCCCAACACCGTAGTATGAGAAACATCCCCATATCATGATGCTTACACCACCATGCTTCACAGTGTACTGTGGCTGGAATTCAGTGTTTGGGGGTCGTCTGACAAACTGTCTCCGGCCACTAGACCCAAAAAGAACAATCTTACTTTCATCAGTCCACAAAATGTTGCGCCATTTCTCTTTAGGCCAGTCAATGTGCTCTTTGGCAAATTGTAACTTCTTCAGCACATGTCTTTTTTTTCAACAGTGGGACTTTGCGGGGGCTTCTTGCAGGTAGCTTGGCTTCACATAGGCGTCTTCTAATTGTAACAGTACTCACAGGGAACTTTACACCTTCTTTCATCTTCCTGGAGCTGATTGTTGGCTGAGTCCTTGCCATTTTGGCTATTCTTCTATCCATTCCAATGGTAGTGTTTTGCTTTCTTCCACGTCTTTCAGGTTTTGGTTGCCATTTTAAAGCATTTGCGATCATTTTAGCTGAGCAGCCTATCATTTTCTGCACTTCTTTATATGTTTTCCCCTCTCCAATCAACTTTTTAATCAAGGTACGCTGTTCTTCTGAACAATGTCTGGAACGACCCAGTTTCCTCAGAATTTCAGAGAGAAATGCACTGTAACCAGCATGTACAACATTTGCTGCCTTCCTTCCTTAAATAAGGGCAATAATTGCCACCTGTTTTTCAAAGAATGAATGACCTCACTAATAGAACTCCTCACTGCTATTATTTTGAACATGCCCCTTTCAATGAGTGATTCAATTACACAGAATCAGCAGCAAGCATGTCATGACTGTTGGGTCTGTTGGATTTCTATTACTCTATTACACCTTCTAGTAAATTATTTGCCATGTAGAAATATCATTTCTACCAAAAACAGTGATTGATCAGGTTAGTGATGTCTGACTGCTATTATTTTCAACACAACTGTATGTATACACACACACAAACATACATACATATATACATACAGTGAAGGAAATGCGTATTTGCTCCCCTGTTGATGTTGAATGTTCGCCCACTCACAAAGAAATAATCAGTCTAAAAATCGAATGTTTGGTGTATTGTAACACTGAGAGACAGAATAGCAACAACAAATTCAGCAGAAATGCATGTCTAACAAATGATGACTGATCTGCATGTTCATGAGAGAAATAAGGATTTGATCCCCTATCATTCAGCAGGATTTCTGGCTACCAGGTGTCTTTCATACAGGTAACAAACTGAGATTAGAAGCAGTCTCTTAAAGGGAGTGCTGCTAATCTCATTTTGTTACCTGTATAAAAGACACCTGTCCACAGGAGCAATCAAACAATCAGATTCCAAACTCTCCACCATGGGAAAGACCAAAGAGCTGTCCAAGGATGTCAGGGACAAGATGGTAGACCTACACAAAGCTGGACTGGGCTACCAAACTATGGCCAAGCAGCTTGGTGAGAAGGTGACAACAGTTGGTGCAATCATTCACAAATGGAAGAAACACAAAACAAGTGTCAGTCTCCCTAGGTCTGGTGCACCATGCAAGATCTCACCTCGTGGAGTGTCAATGATCATGAGAACAGTGAGGAATCATCCCAGAACTACACGTGAGGATCTTGTCAATGATCTCCAGGCAGCTGGGACCACAGTCACCAAGAAAACAATTGGTAACACACTACGCCGACAAGGACTGAAATCCTGCAGTGCCCACAAGGTCCCTCTGCTCAAGAAAGCACATGTCCAGGCCCATCTGAAGTCTGCCACTGAACATCTGAATGATGCAGAGGAGGACTGGTTGGAAGTGTTGTAGTCAGAGGAGACCAAAATCCAGCTCTTTGGCATCAACTCAACCTGCCGTGTTTGGAGGAGGAGGAGCAATGCTGCCTATGACCCCAAGAACACCATCCCAACTGTGAAACATGGTGGTGGAAACATTCTGCTTTGGGGGTGCTTTTCTGCTAAGGGGACAGGACAACTGCACCGCATCAAAGGGACGATGGACGGGGCAATGTACCATCAAATCTTGGGTGAGAACCTTCTTCCCTCAGCCAGGGCATTGAAAATGGGTGGTGGATGGGTGTTCCAGCATGACCATGACCCAAAACACACGGCCAAGGCAACAAAGGAGCTTCTCAAGAAGAAGCACATTAAGGTCCTGGAGTGGCCTAGCCAGTCTCCAGACCTTCATCCAATTGAAAATCTGTGGGGGGAGCTGAAAGTTTGAGTTGCCAAACGTCAGCCACCAAACCTTAATGAATTGGAGAGGATCTGCCAAGAGGAGTGGGCCAAAATCCCTCCTGAGATGTGTGCGAACCTGGGGGCCAACTCCAGGAAACGTCTGACCTCTGTGATTGCCAACAAGGGATTTGCCACCAAGTACGAAGTCATGTTTTGTGAAGGGGATCAAATCCTTATTTCCCTCATGAACATGCAGATCAGTCATCATTTGTTAGACACACATTTCTGCTGAATTTGTTGTTGCTATTCTGTCTCTCAGTGTTACAATACACTGAACATTTGATTTTTAGACCGATCATTTCTTTGTGAGTGGGCGAACATTCAACATCAGCAGGGGAGCAAATACACATTTCCTTCACTGTACATACATACATACATGATTTTGCGCACCCGTACCGCCCTGTAACATTTTATGGACTTGAAAGTTCCACCTGGTAAATGTCGATATACATTTGTGAAGAGAATCAGTAGGCGTGTGGTCTCTGATATCCCATCAGATTTTCTTCAGGTGTAAAACATTTTCCACACTCTGAACATAAAAATAGTTCCTTCCCGAGCGTTTAACACTGCTTCTTCTCCAAGTGAAATGTTTCCCACACTTCGACCGTGGAAATGGGTTCTAGCCTGCGTGAAGTCTCTGGTGTCTAAGAAGCTCTCCTTGCTGACTAAAACATTTCCCACACTCTGTACATGAATACGGACGCTCACCTGTATGTACTCTCTGGTGTTTAAAAAGGTCGCCTTGCTGAATGAAACATTTCCCACACTCTGAACATGAGAAAGGGCGCTCCCCTGTGTGGATTCTCTGGTGTCGAAGAAGGTTGCTTTTTGCAGTGAAACGTTTCCCACACTCCGAACAGGAAAAAGGATGCTCACCGGTGTGACTTCTCTGGTGCTTAAGAAGGCTTCCTTTCTGAATGAAATCTTTCCCGCACTCTGTGCATGAGAAAGGCCGCTCACCCGTGTGAATTCTCTGGTGTAACTGAAGTGTATATTTCTGGATGAAACATTTCCCGCATTCCGAACATAGATAGGGGCGCTCGCCTGTGTGACATCTCTGGTGTTTGCGAAGGCTTACTTTGTGCCTGAAACATTTCCCGCATTCAGGGCATGAATAAGGACGCTCACCCGTGTGAATATTCTGGTGTTCGATGAGACTTTGTTTCTCAGTGAAGCACTTCCCGCACTCTGAACACGAATAGGGACGCTCACCCTTGTGAATTTTCAGGTGTGCAACGAGGCCCCCTTTCTGAGTGAAACATTTCCCGCACTCCGGACATGAATAGGGACGCTCACCCTTGTGGATTCTTTGGTGCGTTTGAAGTGTGTTTTTTTGCATGAAACATTTTCCACACTCTGGACACGTGTGAATATCCTGCTGCCTGACGAGGCTTCTTTTATCAAGTAAGCGTTTCTCTGGCCATGAGTAGGGATGCCCACCTGTGTGTCTGATATGTTTTTTGCAACATTTCCCGCACGCTGAACAGGAATAGGGACGGTCACCTGTGTGACTTCTCTGATGTTTAAGAAGGGAGCAGTTTTTAGTGAAACTTTTCCCGCACATCAAACATGGCAAGGAAACGCTTTCACGGCTTAGGGAAGATTTCTCGGCATTAGACGGATCTGCTGATCTCTCCGCACTGTGAGATCTTCGATATGTATCTGGAGTCACAGTGTGAGATCGATCGGATGATTCCGGAAGATTGGAGGGATCCATTGATCGCCGTGTGTTCTGTATGATGGCGTCTTCTCCTGGAAAGAGCTGAGCCGTGTCATCAGCTTTCACATCATAACCTGGAGGTAAAACAAAACGATCCTCAGAGTAGATATAGTGAATGCGAGGTCCGGGGAGAGCGGATATAGTGAATGCGGGGTCCGGGGAGAGCGGATACAGTGAATGCGGGGTCCGGGGAGAGCTGATATAGTGAATGCGGGGTCCGGGGAGAGCCGATATAGTGAATGCGGGGTCCGGGGAGAGCGGATATAGTGAATGCGGGGTCCGGGGAGAGCGGATGTATCGAATGCGGGGTCCGGGGAGAGTGGATATAGCGAATGCGGGATCCGGGGAGAGCTGATATAGCGAATGTGGGATCCGGGGAGAGCGGATGTAGCGAATGCGGGGTCCGGGGAGAGCTGATATAGCGAATGTGGGAAATGGGGAGAGCGGATGTAGCGAATGCGGGGTCCGGCGAGAGCGGATATAGGGAATGCGGGGTCCGGGGAGAGCGGATATAGTGAATGCGGGGTCCGGGGAGAGCGGATATAGTGAATGCGGGGTCCGGGGAGAGCGGATATAGTGAATACGGGGTCAGGGGAGAGTGGATATAGTGAATGCGGGGTCCGGGGAGAGCGGATATAGTGAATACGGGGTCTGGGGAGAGCGGATATAGTGAATGCGGGGTCCGGGGAGAGCGGATATAGTGAATGCGGGGTCCGGGGAGAGTGGATATGTGGGTAGTCAGAGAGCGCAGACCTGTGCCTGACATCAGAGATACAGACTGGAGAGGGAAATGTGGAGTGTGTGAACCTGGGCTGTACATGCCTACACTGTTAGAGAGAGCCTGGTGTGCGGGGACTGGAGCTGTGTACTGTGTCAATAGAAGCCAACGATGGAACCACTGGGTGCCTCTTGTTCTTCGGATTGTGGGGTACAGACCTGCTGCTTGGACCGGTTTGTGGCTGCACCAGAGAGACAAGCCACCAATGAACCTGACAAAAATGACCACTGCCCCAGTCTATAACTGGCCTTCACGGCAAGGAGCACATGGAAGGGCAAACTTGCCAACCAGCCTGCAAACAAAAAAAATTAACCTGTCTAACAGTATGCATTAAAAACAGGGGCTGGCTGGCAAGTTAGAGCTGGGAATTTTTCTTTTTTGTTGCTTGCCACCAAGGAACAGGACCCTGATGACTGCAGACCGCCAAGCACCCAGGACAAGGTAGGTGGTATATCAGGACTGGTGAGTGAATTCAGTGCTGTTTATATTCCACTTCTAGTGATCCAATGCAACTGGAGACTGCCTTTGCCTAACAGCATGTAATCCTAAAGAGATGGTAACATGTACACCACCATACAGTTTGGGCCCCACCTTTAGCAAGGAATTTAAAGGGTGGGGACATCTCTCTGGTGGGCTCCTGTTACTTGATTGTTTCTATGTGTTTATTACTGCTCTCTCCTTTCCAATAAAGTCTCCTCTTACCCGGTGATGTGAGGGGCGGCTGATTGTCCATCATGACGTCCTTGTAGAGGTCCTTGTGTCCTTCTAAATACTCCCACTCCTCCATGGAGAAATAGACAGTGACACCCTGACACCTTATAGGAACCTGACACACACAATGATACAGTCACCATCCAGACACATCCCTTGTCTGTTACTGGAGAATGTCCCAGAATTCCCGCCACCGCTCACCTCTCCTGTCAGCAGCCCCATCATCTTCTTGGTGGCTTCTAGAATCTTCTTGCTGTTTCTCTCAAGAGTCAGGTAGGAAGGTGGAGACACAGAGATGGGGTTTTGTCTTTCCCTTTTCCTCTTGTGATATTAGGAGGTTTCTTCATAAACTAGCACAGTCCTGGGAAATAAAGCAATACATATATTATTAGAACACTCCTCACCACCCCGGACAGATTTGTGCCTTATTACTAGTGAAAGGAGTGATGTCATGTGACCTCCCAGAATCCTTCTCACCTCTCCGGTCAGCAGGTAGATGATCTCCACAGTGAGGTCAAAAAGAATCTCATTCAAGCAAAGTTTGTTTTTTTTTTTCCAAATTCATCGGAATTCAAGGTCTGGTGGTCCTCCCTCATGACGTCCTTGTAGAGGTCCTTGTGTCCTTCTAAATACTCCCACTCTTCCATGGAGAAATAGACAGTGACATCCTGACACCTTATAGGAACCTGACACACACAATGATACAGTCACCATCCAGACACATCCCTTGTCTGTTACTGGAGAATGTCCCAGAATTCCCGGCACCGCTCACCTCTCCTGTCAGCAGCTCCATTATCTTCTTGGTGACTTCTAGAATCTTCTTGGTACTGGTTCCCTCTGTTGTCAGGCAGTGAGGTGGAGGCCCTGTGATGGGTGATGTCCCATGAAGACCACTGTAGGGTTCTAATAGATCACCAGACATTTTCTTCGTTATTTTTACAATCCTGAGAAAATGGAGAAAATAAATCACTAAAGACCTTCCAGAATCCTCCCTCTCCGGTCAGGTCTGTGTTTTTATTACTAGAGAAGAGTGACGTCATGTGACTTCCCAGAATCCTCCTCACCTCTCCGGTCAGTTCTCTGTTTTATTAATAGAGAAGAGTGATGTCATGTGACCTCCCAGAATCCTCCTCACCTCTCGGTCAGGTCTGTGTTTTAGTAATAGAGATGAGAGTGATGTCATGTGACCTCCCAGAATCCTCCTCACCTCTCCGGTCAGGTCTGTGTTTTATTAATAGAGATGAGAGTGATGTCATGTGACCTCCCAGAATCCTCCTCACCTCTCCGGTCAGGTCTGTGTTTTAGCAATAGAGATGAGAGTGATGTCATGTGACCTCCCAGAATCCTCCTCACCTCTCCGGTCAGGTCTGTGTTTTATTAATAGAGATGAGAATGATGTCATGTGACCTCCCAGAATCCTCCTCACCTCTCCGGTCAGCAGGTAGATGATCTCCAGGGTGAGGTCCAATATCCTCTCAGTCACTTGGCCTGGTCTTTTTCCATCCTTATTGATTTGGTGAGGTGACCTAAAGAGGACACACCTCTCTGTCAACGAATAATAAAGTGATCATTATTTACTTAAACCAAAGCTTCCGAGATCTGGCTTGTCAAATCTATGTTTTATGGGCTACATGTGGCCCTCTTAAGCCAGCAATAGATGGTTCAAATCTCGGGCCGGGTCAGCAGGGACCAACCAAGATTCAAACCATTTATGAACAGGCTGATTGCACCCAAGTCAGATTGTACAACCAATGTGCCAAAATCTTACATGCAATTATTTCCAGCAGCTATAGCAGGTACCAATAATCACTGTGTTCTCCCCAGCCGTGAAGGCTCCCCGTGCCCCCTCCCACTGGGAGAACTCATTAGCTCCACAGGAGGGATTCCCCCAATACTGGCTATGTTAATGGTGGCAATCAAGCAATTTTCTTTTCAGCAACAGTTACTCCAACTCTGTGGTCTTCAGTGGATTAAGAATAAATTACATTTTGTTACATAATTTAGCATCTAAATATCTTACGAACTGTTTTAAGGCCCCTTTGTTTTGGGACGAAACACTGTAGGTTCCACATTTGTTGTAACATTATGTTCCAAACTGATATAATGGTTTTTAAGAATTTAAGGGAAAAGAAGGAATAGGAACATCATCAGTGCCTTCAGGGAGATCCTGCACCTAAACTGTGAGATCTCACGAGACCTTGGAGTGCTATCATCTTGCGCTTGACTTCATGGACCTCATCTCATGGTTCTATATTTAGGACGTATCCGGTCTATAAACCAGAGGTTCTGAATGGACGGTTGGATAAATGGTTCTATATTTAGGATGTATCCGGTCTATAAACCAGAGGCTCTGGATGGACGGTTGGATAAATGGTTCTATATTTAGGACGTATCCGGTCTATAAACCAGAGGTTCTGAATGGACGGTTGGATAAATGGTTCTATATTTAGGACGTATCCGGTCTATAAACCAGAGGCTCTGGATGGACGGTTGGATAAATGGTTCTATATTTAGGACGTATCCGGTCTATAAACCAGAGGTTCTGGATGGACGTTTGGATAAATGGTTCTATATTTAGGATGTATCCGGTCTATAAACCAGAGGCTCTGGATGGACGGTTGGATAAATGGTTCTATATTTAGGATGTATCCGGTCTATAATCCAGAGGCTCTGGATGGACGGTTGGATAAATGGTTCTATATTTAGGATGTATCCGGTCTATGAACCAGAGGCTCTGGATGGACGGTTGGATAAATGGTTCTATATTTAGGACGTATCCGGTCTATAAACCAGAGGCTCCGGATGGACGGTTGGATAAATGGTTCTATATTTAGGATGTATCCGGTCTATAAACCAGAGGCTCCTGGATGGGCGGTTGGATAAATGGTTCTATATTTAGGACGTATCCGGTCTATAAACCAGAGGCTCTGGATGGACGGTTGGATAAATGGCTCTATATTTAGGATGTATCCGGTCTATAAACCAGAGGCTCCGGATGGACGGTTGGATAAATGGTTCTATATTTAGGACGTATCCGGTCTATAAACCAGAGGCTCCGGATGGACGGTT